GTACGTAGTAGTGATAGCAGCAGCAGTGGTAGTAGTAGTAGTAGTAGCAGTAGGAGTAGTAGTAGTAGTAGTGGTGGTAGTGGTAGTGGTAGTGGTAGTGTTAGTAGTGGTAGTAGAGTAGTAGTAGTAGTAGTAGTCGTAGTCGTGGTGGTGGTGGTGGTGGCGGTGGTCGTGGTAGTGGTAGTCGTAGTAGTAGTCGTCGTCGTCGTCGTGGTAGTGGTAGTGGTAGTGGTGGTGGTAGTGGTAGTGGTAGTGGTAGTAGTCGTAGTCGTAGTCGTAGTCGTCGTAGTAGTAGTAGTAGTAGCAGTCGTAGTAGCAGTAGTGGTAGTAGTAGTAGTAGTAGTGGTAGTGGTAGTAGCGGTAGTAGTAGTAGTAGTAGTAGTAGTAGTGGTAGTGGTAGTGGTAGTGGTGGTAGTCGTAGTAGTAGTGGTAGTGGTAGTGGTAGTAGTCGTCGTCGCCGTCGTCGTCGTAGTAGTCGTCGTAGTAGTAGTAGTCGTCGTAGTGGTAGTAGTGGTAGTGTCTGGTGCACCCCCATAAAAAAATAACGAAACTACACACAAAGGCATCTTGGAAGTGGAGGTGGGTTGAGGCCATTCGGCCTGCCAGTCAGAAACAAACCCTGTAGTGTAGCGGCGTAGCGATATGCATAATAACTAAAGCGAACTCACTCTGCCAACTGTATGAAAAACAATCCCCAGCCGCTGCAGGGTAGAACTTGGGGAAACTTGTCTTGGACACCCGCCATATCCCGCCATCATACTCAAAGACTTGTGAAGGAGGTGCTGCGGTAAATGTCATGTCAGTGCCACAGCATCTACCCCCACATCTCAATGAGTTTCCCACTGCACACCAATTCTCGTCCCGATTAGGCTGGGTCACCCAGACTGCCCAAACTTCGTAGCTAACTGTTAGTGGTTCAAGAACGATATGCCATGGGGAGCTGGAAACCCACTTTAACCACTCCAGTCACCTTGCAAAGCTTCCCTTTTGATCCTTTAAGAGAATTGGAGGGTCTCCTTGGCGGCCTGCAAAGAAAATTGAAACCACTTCAAAAAAACCATTATTCAAGGGCAGTTAGCCCCAATCCATATGAAAACGCCGGGGCCTCATGGGGCCTCCAACCGATCGATCTTCCTCTGCTTCTGGTTGAGTTCAAACAGAGCAACTGTTTAGAACGCTCTCCAATGTGAGACTTGTTCTTTGTGTGTATGTGTGTGGCAGCAATAGGTTCGACTGGCGGCTCCAGGCTCCAGCAACTCGATCCCGACTGAGCTTGCGGACATCAAAGAGTGGCACTTGCTCCAAGTTCTCAGTCCACCTGCGTCCGACCGGGCAAAGGCCCCGTGAACTGGCCCGAGGAACACAACTCTCCTCCAGGATTGTGCAAATCACTTTGGGGATCTTTGGGATATTCAAACATATTCATATCATTTTGGGGGGCAGCGCTCCACACCAACAATCAAAAATCATTTCGATAGGTACTCTCGCATTGATCTAGAACATCGCCCACACAGGCCACCTCCGACTCCCACCCTTGTACATCCCGTGCTTCAGCATGCTTCAGCCAGGTCACAAACGGTGGCTCCTCAAGCCATCTTCGCCCAGGTCCAGAAAACAAGCAAGCACCTCGTGAACGAGCCAGTGAGCGGCTCGCCGCATGACGAGCACACGTCTCTTGCCGGAGGTTCATCAAGTCATTGACCCTCCTCCCTCTCAAAGGACTCCAAAGATAGCACAGTCAAATCATCAGCTTCAGTCGTTTTGTTTTTGGTGCACATGAAATCAGGTGGCCAGTGGTTCGTTCGTTCGTTTGGAATTAAGGGCTGCGTGGCAGCGGGTTGGAAGGGTGAAGGCCTCAAACGAGCCCAGCCATCCATGCGGCATTTGAACGCTTCTTTGACCCGCGGCATACCCCCGCCTCAGGGTCCTCCATCTTCCTCACCTCTTCGCCTGACCATCGAGTTTGTATAACGTGACAACGAGGGTTTCAATCCCTACAGGTCAACGATCTCATTGTATCTGAGTCGGAGTTGGTCATACAAATATATTCAAGCCAGCAAACGACCTGGTTCTACTGGGTCTTGGATGATCTTTCGACTTGTAGTGAATATGTGTAAATCCTGCATTGATCTGAATGGGCTTTTCGTGCGCCTCCATGGCCCCATGTGCCCCAATGAAATCAGCTGAAGTGGCTTCAAGCAGGTAGCAAGGATGAGTTCGTATAGCCTCCAGTTGCAGCCTCAACATATTGCCTTGCAAGGGCCGACATTCAACGTCAGGCAGTCCCGCCTTCCACCGCGGAGCTGACGCCATAGGCGGGCAATTGAGCCTGGTAGGGGTATCAAACATATCCGGCTCTTGGTATAGCCTGGGATTCTTGAAGAAACCAGGGCATTTTCATGCCCAGTCCTGGAGCACAGGCTCTGGGTGCTAGGCCCCCCTAGGCAACCGGACACCGCGTGGAGCCTCAGACAAATCCCAAGCGCACCTGGGAGTTCAACCCTCCCAGCTGCGCCTCCGGAGGTGGATGATGTGAACCTACGTGATCGGCCGCCGGCGACGACGGGCGACGCGAGACGTGTGAAGCAACAGAATTGCCTTCTCGAACATGACATGCGCACTTTTGGTCAAAAGGCCAGACCCAACGCCAAGAACCGCGGGCACAATTTAGCTGTACATGGCCAGCGACCAGGGGCTTTGCCCCTCGCAAGGCAGAAAAATGGGGCAGAAAGGCATGCTGCCTTCGCCGAAGGGCTTCCGGAGAGAACTCGCTCTGCTGCTATCTGTCTGTCTGCCTATCTAGTTGGAATCTGTACTATCTATTGATGTCTGCATGCTGCATGCATATATAGTATCGTAAGTACCCTAATATACAGTATGTACTCTAATTATTCTACTTTTATTCTATCACCATCTATCGTGTTCTTCTCTTTGCAATTCGGCTACATGATATTCCACCCTTATCGGATGCTCAGAAACCCATGTGCTCAACTGCTGGCATCACTTCCGTGTAGACCTCAAGGCGAACTGGTCTGGGTCGCCCAGTTTGGGTCACAAAGAATCACCCACGCCGAGACCTGATTGGGGGTTGAAGCATGTTGAAACCGTGGACCATCGTGGACCAGTTTCAGCTGTTGCTGATCATGTTTTATCTCTCCAGGATTCTTCAACCATCCATATCAGTCTTCGCCCCTCACATGAAACTTGTTCAACACGTGTTCGCTCCAGCCGTCCTTGCTTCTACCGGTGGATGGAAAAGCTGCTGGTTCCGACATCTGTTAAACTTGGGCAGCGTGCTCTAGCCAGGGGCAGGTGTCACATCCTATAAACAAGAAACAAGCCACTAGGGGCAAACATGGGCACAACACATAGGAAGAGTAACCCAATTCACTTTGTGCACTGTCTGCAACTTATTGCAGCATCACTGAGTTGCAAACACGCAGTTTTTGCCCTTCCTCCTCGAACTCCTCGGCATATCGATATGCCACCTGCCACGCGTTTCGGTCCCACTCGCAGCTCTCACCTTCCAAAGGACAAACTGCTGGGATTGGCCAATGAAAACTGTGCACTTTCTTACCTTGTGAATCGAACTCCCACATGCCTTTAAACTATGAATGGGATATGGTCATGCAGGTGGTATAGAAACGCATGCCCAAAAGATCCCAAAAGCCCAAGACATAAATACATGGTAGATCAGGGCGAATCCACCTGAATCTTATGGAATTCCATCAACCCTTGAGTCCAAACACTCGAGTAGGACACTCCGAAAATGAATTCAAGCGGTCCCAGCTTCGCGCGCCTGGCGCGCTTCGCTGAGGGCACATCGCAGCAGCGGGAAGTGGCCTTCGTCCTCCTCTCGGACCTGAGTGACGGTCAGTCCTGTGGGTGAAGGTCAGTGGACCTTAGGAGCAAGGGAACCGTTTGACTCACATGTTTCCAAGGACCAACAACGATCCAAAAAGAAAACACAGGTTCACACCAGCGTCACACCAGGTTCACCTGATCCTCTAGGAACACCAAAGGCATTGACACCAATTGAAACCTGGTCCTTGGATGTCCTTGGGCATCAACATGCATCCTCAAAACTGTAGTGTTCAGAGTTTCGCTGCAACAGGGAGAAATCCTCGACCCACGGGTTTGAGACGTCAATGGTCTGCATGGAGACATTGTTTTGGGAAACGACCCGGAACTCGTCGGCTCTTTCCCAAACAATCCATGGAACTGCAAGAGTGACCTCCATTGGGTCAATGGAAGTACAGTAGCTATACCATACCCAGACCATCCATGCAAAGAATAGGCTAGAATAGGAACTTACTTAGACTTAGACAACATGTTGGGTCAATGTAAGTAAGCTGTATATAAGTATTCCATAGTATTCCAATCCCGTGGATGGTCTGGGTTTGGAAGGATGATCAGCTCCGGGTGGCAAATCGCACGAACTGCCACCGCTGGTCCTCAGCTGGATGGTCGCTCGGGCTTGGCACCGGCGTTCGGGGACCGTTCGCTTCTCGGCAGGTGATGAAGCCAAACCGGGCCCTGCTATTTGCTTGATGTTGTCCTTTTCCTCTCGGAAATGCAAGTCAAAACTAATTCATTGTTGATGGTGTTTGTCTTGTACAGCCCACCCACTTGAACCAAAATCCCTTTTAGCATCTTTAGGGAAACGACACCAACACGGGTGGTCAAATATCCCAAGCCTTCCAAGAGGCCATTTTCCACTTCCATTTGACTCAGCGTGTAATTAGTCTTCTTTACTCAAACTCACTCACTGGCCACGGCCAGTGTTGAATCAAGCTGGCCAGGCTCTCTTGATTTGTCCGAGACAAAGAATGACTCGTCCTGAAAACAGTGCCTGGGCTTGAAGGCATGGATGTTCGAGCCACAGCCAGTGGCAGGTTCAAGTCATTTGATCCACCTTTTCATTCTTTTCATCTTTGATCTTTCCAAGTCTCACTCAGCAACAAGGTCGTTGGTGTGATCCGACCTCATGATGGCAAGCGCTGCCGGAAACTGGTGGAAGAATTCAAAACTCAATGCACGATTTCGTGCACGAACTGAACACTACTGATCACATGTGCTGTGGAAAAGACGGCCCCCTTTCAGAGCCGACCTCCCTTTCCATGCGGTCCCATGACTTCCTTCCATGGATTCTCCATATCAAGACAGCCCTCCTCACCCTGGCCGACGGACGTACTCCTTCGCTGCCGACCGATGCCGGGCGTCCGAACCGATGCCGCCGGCCGAGTCACTGCTGACCTTGGAGCGCCAGGAGCGCCAGGAGTTCCTATTGAGCTCTTTCGATTTCGGAGGTCCTTTCAGAGCAACTCAATCGCCAAAATGTGTCCTATATGGTCTATATATATATATGTCTATATTGTGCTTTATCACTCTTAGCAAACACAAGCTCAGTGTAAGTCCAACCTCTTCTGCCTTACGATCCAAGAAGCCGTCTTTGACTTCCCATGTTTCGAGGGGGTTAACAGTTCAACCTATTATTTGGGAGTCAATCTATGCCATGTCTCCCCCTCGGTGTAGGACATCCAAGGGCGGCTGAATCTTCACCACCCACACGCCCGGCCGAGGGAAGGTTGCCTATGCAGGTCAGTGAGCCAGGCACCGACGGTAGCTTGTGATGGTTTAGAGTGTCAGGATGTCATGCCAGAATCAAGTGCTAGTGTTTAATACATGTATCCAGAGTCATGTATTATGCATAATGTATGGCCGGATTTCTTCTCGGGATGATAGAACGTGATCGAAAATGGACAGCATCCGCAAAACGAGCTATAAAACTACTCAATCAATCTCAATCAGGACAATCTTTCTACAGTAGTTGTTGTTGGATCGCACCCTCATGTGCCATCCGAAGTTTGCAGCATGGTCAAAAATGGTCCAACCCTACTTGCTCCCATCAGCTCAAGAAACCGATGCTTTCTGGCCCAACATCCCTTCGTCCGGCCTCCTCCTCTCGTCCTGCCAAGGCCTGGCTGCTGGAGGGTCGCCCATCGCGGTAGACGAGTCCTGTGGTGCAAGCGACCGCTTTTGACGTTGGCAATTGTTGGAACAACAGAAGTGCAAAGCCCCTCACAGTTGAAAGCAAACAGGATTGCTTCAGTTTGTATTTGGTGCTGGGGAAGGCTCAAACACAAAGGTGATCAATGTTGATCATGAAGAATGGATGCAACTAATTTCACCTGGAACCAATTCTAGGAGTGGAACCAAAACTTCTCAAGGAACCCAGCCCAACTCGAGGCATCTGCATTTTATGTCCCCCAAAAGTGTTGTGCTGGACAATAGATGGGCTCAAGCAATTCTTGTAGCAGACCGTCGCACAACAGGTCTGCAAAGCAAAGCGGTTTTCCGGCGAAGGCTAGTCGCGTAGTCTAAATGGCTTTAGGCCTTTGAGAGAAAAAGTGACCGGCGAAAATGAAGTCACTCTCAAGGCTCAAACGGATTCCATGTCAAATGCTCACTTTCACAGCTGCTCTATCTTCTTGTTGGCATGAGTATCCGTAAAAATGGATATCAACACTCGAGCTGGAGTTGAAAGGAGCGCTTGACGGTTGGTCAATGACCTCATCTTGACATGATCCTCTAGGATCCGCCAATGGGAGATTCCGGTGTCCAAATCAAATCGAGCATACGTCGTCCGGATGGGGTACTTTTCAATCTCATATCTCCCGATGGGGCTCCTATAGGACCTAGCATGGTGAGCTACATGGGTCACAATGTCACCCTTGTGGTGCCAACCGGGGCTCTCAGCAAGCTGTTGGAGGAAGACGAAAACTGGCAAAGCCTCATTCAGCGGCTCTCCGTCCAAGGCTGCAGAGGAGGAGCTCAAAGCAAGTTGCTTCCTGCTAGGCTTTCCTTGCTTCACGTAAGCTTGGTTGAACGTGTAGCACCATCGACCAGAAGCTAGGATGCGGTGAAGGTAGGACTCATCCATGTCCTTTGTCCCACAATCCACAAACATATTGCTTGTGCTGGTCCACTTCAACGAAGTGCAGGCCCGAGCCAATGTGGCGCGGATCCAACCAATGGTGAAGCCAAGGGACTTCTGGGCTCCATACGTGGCAGTGTCACTGTTCCCCTTGTCAAAGAGGTCTTTCGCGTCAGTGATCTGCACGAAAGGAACAGCCTCCAGGATCTCATCCTGCATCCTCTCTTGGACTGGGAAGCCCTTGAAGATGGCCAGCAGGCCACGGCAGAACATGCCAGCATCCATGCCCTCTTCCGCTCCTAAGAGCTCAGCTGCAAACGTCGAGCGGCAAACACGGCTCAGGCGGTGACTCCTAGAGTCAAGAACACAAAAGCTCCCTTCTCTTCCAGCCAACAGGTCGCTGTCAGCGACCAGGACATAGTAGCAACTCTGGGAGTAGATCTTCTCCAGGATGTTGCCAGAATCACCACCATCCTTGTTGGTGTTTCCCAAGGAAGAGTCGGTCACCACCATTATGCCACATTGCTCCAACTTCAAAGGTCGAAACCTCAACTCAAACTGTGAGTGCTTCTTGAAGCGCTTGAGCAATGCATTGGCACGCATGAGTGTCTGCACTGTAGGCTTCTCACCCTGCAACACGCTCAGGTGATATGCCAAATCAAACCTCAGCTGTGCCACCAGCCACTGCAAAGATCCCAGGATTGCCCTGAGCTGTCGACGCTCGCTGTCATTGAGCTCTGCCGAAGTCTGAGCACGTCGGTGCACTGCTATGGAGACAGGCTGTAGGTTGCTGTGGTACTCAATCATGGAGATAGAGATGGAACCATCATCATGCTGCCGAATGCGCTTCCCGCAGTAGGTGAAGTCATCATACTCCACACTTCCAAAACCAAGGATCTGCCCAAGGTCCTGCAGCAAAGCTTGTGCACGGCTTCCGCCTCCAAGCAACAAATCATCCACATGGGAGATGATCACTCCCTCCAAGGTGGATTTGTCCTCAGACCACAGCAGCCAGCAGGCATAGTCCATGGGAGAGCGTTCCCAACCTTGCTCCAGCAATGCCCGGTTGAGTCGAAGATACCACTGGCGTGGTGCATCGGAGAGGCCAAACACACCCTTCCGAATCTTTGCCAATGCGCGACCAAAAGGCAATCCAGGTGCATCCGAAGTTTCGCTGTCCTTCATGTTCTCCATGTAGAGCTCACGATCACCTGCCATGTAGGGGTCGCCCTTCAAGAATGCGCTTTTCACATCAGCGCTCACCAAACGCCATGCATCTTTCTCACCCTTCACAAACTTGTTGTTGCTAGCAGTCCAAATCAAAAGCATGTGCTGACTCAAACGAGAACCAGTGGGGGCATCCTTGCGAATTGCAAATGAAAGCACATCTCTGAACCCTGGAACCACCACCCTTGCTCGAGCTTTGAGAGGCAAAGGTCGGTCAGCTGTGCGGAGACCACTGTGCTTGTCCGTGAAAACAAAGCGCGGGGTCAAAATCTTGCCCACCTCCTTGTTCAAGCGGAGCCGCTTGCGAATCGCTTCTGACTCAGCCATGGGGAGCACTTCAATGGCTTGGTTGTCTTCCCAAACCTTCCAGGCATCTTTGGCTGCCTCACGAAAGGCGATCTTCTCCTCCGGGCTCATGTTCCTCCAGAACAGCTCTTTATGCGCAGCACTGGCCAAGAGGGCCTCAGCATCATGCGAGCCAGTAGGCCAGCTCCATCCAAGCTTTTGGTGAAGTTGCCATTCGGAGCGAGAAGGCAAATCCCATCGTCCTCCCCAGCTTCCATGGTCCTTGACCTTTGCATCCAAAGGCTGCTGCTTATCGATGTCAGCCAAGCTTGCGATCACTCGCAAAGGATGCTCCTTGCCATGCTGGAGCTGTTTCATCAACTCATCCTCACCCTTCTCACAAGCCACCACCAGCGACTCGTTGACACCAGAAGGTGCTGAAGGTGAAGAGCGAGCACCATCAAAGGCGGATTGTTCAGCCAATGCTTCCACATCGACTTCAGCTGGTCGCTTCATTCCACCACTTTCCTCAGCCAGGTCTCTGGCTTGGGCAATCTGTCTTGCCAGGAGGCTGCCAGCGGTTCCAGCACGTCGAATGAGCTCAGGCACGGGTGAGCCAGGTGCAGGTCCCATGCCTGTCACATCACTGATCCTCCTTGATGGAAGTGCAGAGGATCCAACCATAGAGGGAATAGGAGCTGCTTGCTGCGCCACTTGAACCAACTCTTCAGGTCTCACTGGAGGCAAATCAGCTCCCGGAACTCCACGTTGTTGAACCGGAGGTTGCAGTGCAGGGGTCATCGGCATCGCTGTCTCCTCTGGTTCTTCTGGTAGAGCAACAGGTGGAGCAGCTGGAAGACCTCGCAAAGTCAAATCATGCTGCGCTGCCTCAACCACTTCTTCAATGGCGTCTCGCCAACTGCCAGCAGCAATCTGCTCGAGCCCACTTGCCACTCTGACATGCTCCATGGCTGCCTTGGTCAACTGACCTTTGTAGCTCAAGAACGCTGAAGCGTGTCCTTCAGTAGCCACCAACAATGCAGGGCCATGCCATCTCTTCAAAGTCAACCTCTTTCGACTTGGGCTGGTCTTGTTGTTGAACCTCAGGGGCCGATAGAAGTAGCAGATTGTGCCAGGTGTTGGAACTTGCTCCATGGTGGTGCTTCGACTTCTGGCCAATTCAGCACGGCGTAGTCCCTTGCTGTAGTGGAGTCGCATCATCGCAACCTTGGCCGTCTCTCGCAAAGCCACCAACCTTGCATGTGAAGTTCTCCCTTCTATGAGCGAATGCTCAGCCAGCCGAGACTCAATGCTGCCCAAGGTGTCACCAACCATCCTCGGCTGTCGTCCAAATGTCGCCTGGTAGGGAGAGAAGCCACTGTCATTCACATCTTGATTGTAGGCGGCCACCGCCTCACTCAGGGCACGTTGAAGCTCCTCAGCACCAATCACAGAGTGTGCTCGAATGACAGCTGTCAGGATCGCTTTGAGCGTGCTGCCTGATCTCTCTGCCACGCCGTTTTGCCATGGGGCTTGCACTGCAATGTGATGCAGCATTGTGGACACTGAACTTGCCCACTCCTCCATTTCCCAACTCACGAACTCTCTGCCCTGATCTGCCACCAGTACTCGGGGAGCACCAAACATAGCCAGCCATCTTGAAATCAAGAACTGAATCACTGACTTGGAGGACTTGTCCGGCAAAACCTCAGCAACCTGAAAACGTGTTGCAAAGTCCGTGGCATGGGCAACATAGAAACGTGTTTCTGCAGCATCTTCTATCTCCAGCAGGTCTACGTGAACCTGATCTGAAATGTCCTTTGGAGTCAGCAGTGATGCTGGTCTCCTGACTTTCGGAGGTGCACGTTCTTGGCAAAGAGAGCACTTGTGAGCTTTGGCAGCAGCTATAGCTTCCACAGGAGCACCTGCAACTGCAAGAGCTCGCGCCAAGCGACGATTGCTCCTGTGGCCAGTATTCTCATGTAGGCGCTTGATGGCATTCTTCAAGGAAGGACTGATCTTGAGGTCAGTCTGAGGGGAATCGCCAACTTCTTCATCAGAAATCTCTTCAGCGCCCAACGCAAGTAGGCCATCACCAAAGTCCTCCTCCGCTTCTCCCGTCTGAGCTGCCAGGGCCTCCTTAGGCCGGAAGTCCAAATCGAACTGCTCCATGATCCCCTTCACCAAGGCGCGTGCCAGCGGCTTCGGGTAGATGCCCGCATGAGCTGTAATCTTGGAGCCTCCCAGGACAGGTTGATGGCTGTGGTCACGCTTGCAACGAAGGCCATCCAACAAAGCAATCACCCTGGGGCTTGAACTCACCAGCTGTGTGGATTTTCTATGCAAGTCACCAGAAAGGCTGCGAAGGTTGAACCGGCATTGGTCAAACACTGCTATCTCCACATTGTGCTCCTCGATGAACTTCTGCATGGGGAGTGTCTTCCATGCTAAACTCGGGAGCGGGTTCTCCATAATGAAGTGTCGACCACCTTTCATCTGCAGCTTTGCGACTTCAATCGCAAACTCCATCAGGACCAAACCATCAGCTTGACGTTGATCCAAGGAAGTCAATCCTCGAGTGTTGAGGTACTGTAGTGGACTGAAAGGCCCACATGGAAAAGCAAGCGCCACGCAGTAAGGCTTCTCCTCCTCCAAAACCTTCATTGCCCGGCTTCGGTGCTCAGCCAAAAGGAAGTTCCATCCATTGTCCAACGACATAGCCGGACCCACCTTGTGGCCTCTTCGTTCAGCCTCTCGCATGACATTCTGCGAAGTGGTGTAGACCTCAGACACAAGGGACCGCTCCTTGTCAGGGGGCTTGACATTCTTGGAAATCAAGACATTCTTGGGCTGGCTCTCATTCTGAAGGGCCTCAAAACCGGCAAGAACCTTGTCATCCGGAAGACACAATTCAAACGGTTGGAAGAAGGTCTCTTCGGTCATGAAGTCCAACATCTCCTGTTCATGGTCAGCCACCAGCAACTCTTTCATCTGCCTTGGAGATTGTGACACTTTCTTTCGATCTTGTTCATGCTGACTCCAGGCTTGAGCGACCAGTTGAGCTTGACCAGGTTTCAGATCTTGGTGAAGTCTGAATTCATGAGGGCGGCTCACATCCCTGCTCCATCCCTGAGACCCAGACGGATCTCCTGCATCACTTCGGCCGGAATGTCGTCCCCGAACTGAGCTGTCAAATTGGCTCCGTACAGCTCCTCGTAGGCCTGACCATTCAATTCCCGAATCTCGGCCTCGGTGAAGTTCACGGGTGAGGCATCCTGTGGCGAGTCTGGGATCAGACTTGGCTCTGAGCTGAGATCCACCTCCATTTCCGGAGTCACTTGTGAGCGCAGCAATGCCAGCTCGCGAGACATCTGCTCCATCATAGCCCTCATCTCTTGCTGCTGAACTGCCAGGTTCTTGGGGTTGTCGTTGAGCAGCCTGGCGGGCGGTGAAGAAGAGCTCGCTGAAATCTCCTCGGCCGTGTTGGCCTTTGCTGGGCTTACCGCTGGCTTCTTGTTCTTGAGGATCTCGATCATAGGCTTCACCTTTTCTTTGATCTGAGCCACGGAGTCTTTCTCGCCCAGGTCCACATGAAGCAAAGCAGCCAACTTTACCAGATCGGCTCGAAGGGTAGGAAGACCTCCTCGAGGGCCAATGAGTGCCCGAGCCTCTTGTTCTCGACTTCCGTCGGCTTCTGCTTTCTTTGCCAGCTCCTTGGCTTCCTTCTGAGCAGCACTCCTCAGTTTGGCTGTTATGCCCTTTGTCGTCTGCGCTGCCATCATTCCTGCCAGGACGGGATCTTCGATGAACGATGTCCTGAGCCCCACCCGGTTGCGAAGGTGCCGACATTCTGCCAAGTTGCCCATGGTGAACAGGTTCTTCTCCAGGCAGTTCTTGAGATACCTTGGAGGGATGGTTCCATCTGAAACCTGCTTGCGCACCTGAGCCAACCAAGCTGCTGTCGTGGTAGTTGAGGGATAGGGCAATGGCAGATATCGCAAGTAGGGCCTTTGCAAAAGCCAAAGGAGCAATCCTTTTGCTGCCCAGCGAAACCTTTCTCCCATGCGGAGGAACATCCGCTTCCATCTTCCGACCTTCACGTCCATGTTGGCGCTCTCGCCTCCCAAGAGGTTGCCTGCAGTCATCCATCCGCCGAACATTGGAGGGTGAAGTAGTCAAGGAAGAGGAACTCGAATTTCGATCAGTCGTCCCTTCCGGCTTCATGGACGCACCTTGAGCTTGAACCGATGAGCCAAAAACATCAGGTGAGTGAAGAACAGCACAAACCAAATGGCCCACACGAACGCTCTGCTCTGTCAGAAGGTGGTCATGTGAACTGCTCTTCAAAGATGAACCAAAAGACAGTTTCTTTCGAAGCCATTGAACAGGACTCAACTGCAGTTCCAAAACACCATCAACTCCCAAACGCTTCCAACGCTGTGGCCCCACACCTGACCAGGTTGCTGGCACCAATGGCAGGAGGAAATGACCTGCAGCCAGCTGCTTCAAGGAAATCGGCTTGCCCGTGAGGTGTTCACATCGAAGGGTGCGATGGGCAAAATGCATGTCAGCTCCAATTGCTTCTAGAAAATCACGACCTAAAAGCAACCCCAATGAAGGAACCGGCACCAATGAAGTCCAAAAACAAATGATGGAGCCATCTAACTGCATGGGGAGCCGCCACCGTGCAACACTGACTTGGGTTCCACCGTTGCCAAACTTGAAGGTCTCATACTCCTTGTGGGATTTGACCAAACCACGAACTTCTTCGGGGGCATCTCTCAGGCAACGGAGGTAGTTGTTGAGCCACTCCGTCCCAGTGCACGTGCGGTTGCAAGCTGAATCAAGGGCTCCAACAAGCATTTTGTCGGCAGAGAGCTTGCCAGCAACATTCACCTCTTGTGGATGGAGGTGAGACTGTTCAAAAAGCTGCCACGAACTCATTCGTCATGGGGAAGGCTCCAACTGCCAAAACTTCATGGCCTCCATCCTCCATCACAGGCGGAGACACTTCGGTGTTCAAGGCCTCCGTGACCTTCACTTGCTTGACCGGCTTGTTCTTTCGACCAAGGCCTTGTCCAGGCTTTGTGCACTCAGGATCACCGGCCCAGTGGCCTGGCAAGTTGCAATCGAAGCAAGGATGCTTCGAAGACTGCTTCTTGGGGTTCATCTTGCCCTTTTGGTCAGCAGGCGAGGCACGGCCATAGCCACGATCCTTCTTCACTTCTTGGAGCTTGACCTTGGCCTCACGCATCGTGAGAAGAGCTTCTGCAGCAGTTTCAACTGACTCCTCAATCTGCTGCAAAGTGTCGCTGTCAAGGCCACATTCGGCTGCTTCCTCAAGGTCCTGCGCCAAGCCTTCAGCCTCCATCTGAAGCACCTCATCCAAAGTCGCCTGAGGTGGATCTCCACCGTCGGCCACAAGCTCATCTTCTTCCTCAGGGTCGATCTCGACCTCAGCTTCGGAAACCATAGCCTGCTTGGGGAGGCCACCAAAAGGTTTCTGGAACCTGTACGTGCTGGCTCTTGAAGTCGTGGTCGATGAAGAGGATCGCATGGATCTAGGTGCAGAGCTTGTCATCGATGGGGCGTAGGATGAAGCTCGGCTCGGACTTCCTTGTCCTTGTTGATGCTGGTTCAAAAAGCGCTTCAACAACGGGGGTCCACTTTCTCCTCCTCCGAAGGGCTTGCGGCTGAGAGGATCTTGAGCATGAAGGTCTTTGAACAATCGCAGCACCTCTCGTTCAATGCTCTCGTAATCCTCAACTCCATTCAAAGCCGTCTCGAGGAGCTGAGTCCGCAAGGCGTCCAATCCAAGCTTGGACTTGTAGAACCACCCAAGCTCTCCAGAAGGCAGCTGCACACCTTCGGTGCGGAGATCGGACACGAGTGTCCGGAAGCGCGTGCTGAACTCTGCTATGCGCTCTCCTGGTCGTCGGCGAAGCTCCAAGTGGAACTGGTTTCTCAGCTCTCCTCTCTTATCCAAGGTGGTCTTGCCATTGATCTCCTCGAGAGCCTTCATGAGCTTCTGAATGCCGGCCAGGGGATTGGCCGCAGTGATCACCACCTGCTCCTTCGTCTCGGGGTCTTCAGCTGTAACCGCTGGTTGGTGCTCAAGCTGCTGGGGTGTAAATTCTTCTCCTCTTTGACGTACCACCCCCGATTGCCGTAGCAACCATCGAGCTGCCAAGTTGTACTTGGTCGTAGAGGCCAAATCTAAGGCCGAGCACCACCAATCCATCTCCCGCTTGAATCCTCGCCATGTCTGAGGCGATCCGTCCCATGTTGGGACGCGAGCCCATGCGCCGCCATTCCCATCCTTCTCGTCCGACATGATGCCTTAGGCAAAGACAGGGACGAAATGGAGGTCAAGGATGTAGTGAGACTTCTTTCAAACACGGAGCGGCAAAAAGGTGAATTCGGACCACCAGCCGTGAAGGTTCCTCCTGCGCCTGCGGGAGTACAACAAAAAGCGGGGTCCAGGCAAGGTCACAACCTCGTCCACGGAGATCGATGTCAGGACACGGAAGCAAAATGCCCGACACAAACTCAGCGAAGAGCGTGGCCAAGAGGCTATGCAAAACCACGGAGTGCAAGCGCAGCAAGCAAGGGCGCGTGCCCAGCGAAAGCAGCTCACCAACCACCAAAGGTCGTAGATCGCCAGCTCCGGTGCCACTGTAGCAGACCGTCGCACAACAGGTCTGCAAAGCAAAGCGGTTTTCCGGCGAAGGCTAGTCGCGTAGTCTAAATGGCTTTAGGCCTTTGAGAGAAAAAGTGACCGGCGAAAATGAAGTCACTCTCAAGGCTCAAACGGATTCCATGTCAAATGCTCACTTTCACAATTCTAGATACAGCAATTCTAGCATTCTGTCTCAACGCAAAGGAACAGGATTCACATAGTTTTTGCAAGACTGGATCGACACCAAACTGCTGGCAGCACCATTAAAACCTCTCCGTCCGAACCATGGCTGGCCGCTCGCGGTCGTCCTGCTCCTCTATCACTGACCTGGGGCACACGGCATATATGCTTGGAGCAAAGAAGGCAATGAGCATTCCAAACCATCCGTGTATGGCCCATATCCACCTACATTTGAGGTGGCTTCTTGGGCTCAATGTATATATTTTATATATACAGTACCAGTCACATGCGTGGTCTGGGTATATAAAGGACCGCATGTGCGGCCCATTCTGAACCAGAACGAATCAAGGCCCTCAGAGTCGGAGACCCAACACCGACAGCAGAAGCAACCACACCTCAGACCTCCCCAAAAATAACGAGAATCTGTACCCACCATTGTTCTTGGAAAGCAAGGTCTGCTGATGTCTGCATCCTGTCTGTTGCCTCCCCTCAGACTCAGCGGAGGTCGGGCGTCCGACCTCACCGAGCGCCGGACTCCAATGGATATCTCTCCTCTCCGCGCGTCGGACCTTTGGAGCGCATGTGGAAACACCAGATATGCATTACGAGCACGAGCACGGGGTGTGCTTCAAACTGGCAGAGACAATGGCATAGATACATCATAGACAAACTGTGTAGATTGATATTAGATTTATGTGTTAAGACTTAAAAAGGTGTTCGATGTTTTAGACTGTATAACTCATGCCTGCTCCACACAAATGGACTGAAACAAAAATGAACCTCGCGGATGGTAGGAATGATCCTTAATTGAGTGAACATCCTGGGCACTGGAATCAATCAAATAAAGGACATGGGTGCCTGAAGGTCTTTCATATACCTCCCTACTATTCCCAAGGAATAGCCAGACCGCGCCCAAACGCGGCCCAAGAACGGCTTGAACTGCTCCGCCGCGGATTGGAGCCGCACGGACCTGAACGAAGGGAACCGGAACAAAACAAACTCTGTTATATATATATATAGGCTGAACAGTTTCCTGCCTACCATGTGGATTTGACTATAGATCTGTTTTATTGGCATTCCATCTGAATCTGTTCATCTCCTTTTTCCACGACTGCCACGCTCCACTCCTCCATCTCTTCGACCCCGTGCACCAAACGAAAGAACCGACTGCACCGGCCTCGAGTCCGCCTCAGTCTGAGGCTCCGAACACTGCCTTGGAGCCCAGCAGGCCCTTGGGGAGCTCCGTCGAGGCCAGGAGGCTGAACCTGCCGAGACCCGGCACCAAAGCGATTTCCAAGGCGTGAGGCGGGGCGTTGGAGTGAATTGTTAGTCAGCAGTTTGTTGGAAACCTTCTCAAGTGACAAGTGAGAAGACGCTCGGAATATGAGCATCATGCGCTTTTGCGAGAATGGCAAGCCCTTTTGGATTACTGCACTTTCCAGGTCGGTACTTCCATGGTTGGTGAATTCTGCACGTGAGTCATTGCAGTGGAAATCATGGCAACAGGTTCATGGCCTGACTCAGCCTTGGAACACCTGCCAAGCACTGACCATTTGCGTACTGCATAATGCGTCAGGCCAAACATGGCCAAACGATCTACCCTCTCTCCAACACTCGTGAACTAGACAATGACCCCTGGAAAGGCCATTCTCCTTGACAAACAGGGGGTTGTGCACTTGCATGTTTGTTGCAGGGAGGGTAGGCAAATTGCAAGCACAGATATCCGCCTGGCCAAGCCTTGCCGACAGCCGCCGCCTACTGTTGAGAGTGGTTGGCCCAAGGTAGGCAAACTTAGACTTAACAGAATCATTGCCAAATCGTGGGATAAACAAACATGGCACAGCAACGGAATGGGATCCTAGAGGAATTGCAGCTGGATACATTTGTCATTGATGGTGAGTTGGGATGTTGGGGAATTGTTCTTCCATCATTATCCAGCATTCACCAGTTGCGGATGATTTGGTCAACTACATACGAGCGGAAGCGGTTTCTTACCCCAACACCTATTACCTACCCCACCCCAATGGCACAACGAGTTACCCCAGGGAACCAAAAGTTACCCCACACATCCAAACCCCATGGCACAGCGGTTCTTATGTCCTGTGTTTCTTCTTGCATTGTATCCTAAAACTATGTAGTTCCCTTGCGCTTTCAATGTGTGGGATTGACCATTATGAACATCTTTGACCCCAGAAGTTTGTAAGATCACCATGGCACACCTTGTTTCACCCCAGTCGAGGCGCCTTCCCAAACCACGCCGCCCTTGCAAATGGTTTTCCTATTTCTTTGGAAGTGAAACGTACCGGTGAGATCTGTTGGACACCAGCCGCACATGACAATGTCTGCCGGAAAATGAAGACCTTTTGACATATATAGATATATATATATACACATAATAGTTTTATACATATATATATATATACAGTATTTGAAACACCAATACAGAACTTAGAAACTGCAAAGGTGATAGTAAGCTATTCTGAGCAACCTTCCTAGTCTTCTCAGGAGTGCTTCTGCCAAACTCAGTGTGCTTTCGCTTTGCAGGAGTCTCCATGGCAGTAGCTTGACCCAGCCACGTGTAAACTTGAGCTCCAGTTGCTACAACCATGCTTTCACACACGGCATGGTATCATGCCACAAGTGAGGGGTACCAGAGAAGAACGAGTTTGATTAATCTCTCAGGTGGCACCAAGTGTGCCTTCTGGATGAATTCTAATGAACAAACCTTCTGTTTGAAGTGCTCATTTATTCTTTGAGGCATCTTTCCTATTTGCCCACAGTAGATCCTAAGTTGGATGGAAACTACATCTAGCATCCTGCGCGCCCTTGTGTTTAAGATCTCTAGTACTGCAAGACTGTCGATCATCTTCGAGATGAGATATGTACAGTAGTTTCCTTCGACCAAGGGCACACCAACATGAGACAACTAAAGGGTGCCCGAGACAAGAAACAACCTTGACCCAGTATCATTGATCTGCTAAAATGTCCCTTGCAGCAACAGAAACAACTCTCAAAACTATTCAAAACTATTGTCTTGGAGAGATGTCACCCTCCTGCCTCGTGCAATGACTCGTCCCCACATGCTGCCTGGCGAGTGCGCACGGAGGCAACTCACCGCAGCCGCAGCCGCAACAACCCCACACAACAGCACGCCCCACAACAACAATTACATATATACAATTACTATTATAGGCAATTAGTGGCTTCCTGTTACTAGTAGTAAGAATGCTCCTAGTAGCGATGCCAGGAGCCCCTAGTAGCGTACTTGCTCCTAGTAGTAAGGCCAGGAGCCCCTAGTAGCTTCCTGTTACTATTATAGGCAATCAGTGGCCACATCGGAACATCCGCACCCCCACCTGCCTCACGATGATTGCGTCAACAGCAACGGAAATTGCTTGTTGTTGTTCTTTCAGCATCGGTGTGAGCCATGATCTTGAACCATGCGGTAAATGAGGCCGATTCAAGAGCCACACATATTTTGAACCTTAATCATAATCAACATCAAACATCCATGTCTGAGCATGTTATTTTCCTCAGATCTTCTGAAGTCTTGCCTGCAACTCTGAGCCTAAACGGCTGAAGATCCATAGCCAGTGAATCATTCGCATCTGAACTAGATGTCACGCGTTGGTTGGGGTCACACCACTTCCACTTCCACTTCGGGCATCCAGCAGCATCCAGTCACTTCAACTCCAAGAGTTGCTGACCCATCTACAGTAGTCACCCCCTCAGCTCCTCGGCTCACTCCGCTCCCGATGGCCTCTCTCCCAGCTGAGCCATGCGAGGCCGGAGCTGAGAAGTACCAAAGCCTTGCGCCCCAACACGCCCAACGCCCCGCGGTTTTGAGGCGTTCGAACCGAACCGGGACCGACCCGACCGGTGCGTCGGCGGATTCACGGAAGGAGATCCGAGGATCGGTGCTGCCTTCTTTCTCTGCGGGACTTAGAGAGGTAACTACTTTGTGTTTTGTATGTCGTTGTGCGGCACCAAAAGCGATGTGTTCGTCGTTGGGCCCCGCAACACGACAATGGGGCCCGGATGCATTGGCTGGTCCTTGGTCTACAAAGAGGAGATGATAGGCACAGCCCGAGATGAGCATTGGATCTCGATTGTGTTTAGCCCAACTTGGTCATTGCTTGGGCCCTGCTGTCCGGGCTGTGACGGTGATTCATTATGCTGCTGCTGCTGCTGCTGCTGAGGATGAGGATGAGGATGATGATGATGATGAGGAGGAGGATAAGAAAAAGAAGAAGAAGAAGAAGGTAAAAATGATCTCAATCAACTACTAGCAAACTAGCCTCTTGACCCCGAAAGTCCGCCCAAAAATGTCACCGCCACTTTTCCATACTTTTCCACTGGTGCCGTGACGCGATCCTCCCGGGTGCCTTCCATGGGGCTTGGCAAATCCGCCGTGCCATGGGCGGAGAACGGGTCGTTGCGGACGGCCCAACAGGGAAAGCCATACATGGTGATGC